CAGCACAGTTAAAGACAAACATTTAAAATCTGGAGTCTTCTGTAAAGAAAGTACCTTGAATAGCAACTGCTTGATTTCTTGTTAGTAAAGATGATCCTGCAAACCTCTCCACAAGTAATTTCCACAATTTAAAGGAATTAAAAAAACTTGTATGGTGTTAAAATTCAATCTGTGATGAATCCGTATGGACTAAGGTGCAACAGAACTGTGTAAATACAAACGAGATGTTTTTGTTGTGAACTTGTGATTATTTATTACCATGAAAGTTTTAGTTAAGCATCATGCTCTTGATCACGCAGCTTTGTTAAATAAAAAAGACATGTGCAAAATGTCTTCCTTCCCATGTTACAAATATTTAAAATCTTTATTCTAAAGTTGTTCATTGGTTAAAGAAGGCAATGCTGTGAGCTGGAAGTTGCCGGTTCAAATCCCCTGATTGTTACATCAAAATTTAGGTAGGGAAGATGAAGCACTCCCATTTGCTTCCTCTTTCTTTTGTCCCACTCTGGGTCCTTCACCCCCATCTGCTCCAAAGGGCTGTGGTATCTGGGTGGTCAGTGGGTACATCAGGAAGGACAGCTGGCATACAACAATTGCCAGATCTTCATGCAATTAGCTCACTGTGGCGACTGAAGAAGGGAGCACCCAAAAGAAGACAACAAAATTGTAAAGATTAAATGAGGTTGGACTTGTCTGGAGGTTCTGGAAGCAAGTAATACAAAAAGTTACTCGTAGTTTTATGGTTTCTCTAAGCAGTGGTGTCCAATTCTGGTCCTCTGGGGCAGCCATCTTGCATATTATAGTTGCTTTGCGGATCTTCAGCTGGTCAAGTTCTGCAGAAACCAGATTAATTATTCAAACCAGGTGTGTCAACAGTGGCGATTTTAGCCTCTTTTGGGAGATGCTCAAACACCCCTAAATTTTAACTAAAAATAAAGAAACCATCATTAGGATTTTGTCAGGAATCTTACTTCTCAAATCTTAGATTCACCAAAAAAACTGTAATAAATTTGGAAAAAATATGGAATAAATATCACTCTTAAACAGGCCAGTAAAATCTATGATTTTTTTGCATGAGTCAGATCCTCTGCGCCACATGGCAATCAATCCAGTAGGCTAGTCAGCAACAGACCAATCGGCGACCTCAATTTGTGCAGAAGTGAAATGGCCCTTACCTGCAGGAGCTGCACCTCCTTTTCCTCCAACATTGTCGGGGGTTTTGTATTACAAATGCTTTGCAGTCATGAAAATTTCATGAAAAATCATCAGAAAGAAATGGTTAAATGTCAGTGGAGAACATGTAATTCAAACACCGTTATCGTGAGCGTTAAGAGGCTGGAATACAGTTTATTCCATTTCCAAAACCTAAACGGAGTCTGGAACAATGTAAGAGATGGATAAAGGCTGGTGGCTGACCTCATGAGTCACTGAATACAACAGTGATAAAATCCTTGTCTGTACGAAGGTAACTGCAAATAAATCCTCCATTTTTGGTCAAAATTAAGTTCAATTAAAGATCAGTACTTGAATCTAGATGTGCTTTGTTTTGTGTGATTTCTAAGTAGATACATGTTGCAACTTCTGGTTGCATAATTTAGTCTTTGTTTGCTATGATCCTTTAAAAGTCCTGTTTGTGACTGGGCTCTTCGTTTGCGTCCATACCGCCCTGAACACGTCCGTTCTCATCTGATCTCAGGAGCTAAGCAGGGATGTGCCTAGTTATTACCTGGATGAGAGAACACCTGGGAATACCAGGCGCCATACGCTTCTCACAAACCACACCATAAGGTTCGTTGTTCAAGCCAAGAGCCATTGTCAGTACTGGAGGTTAAGCACCTCTAAAAGGTCACATCCTAGAATTGCCCGTGTGTCAAAGCAGAGGAACAACCAAAACATGCAACATGATACATTCATTCATCTTTTACTGGAAAAAAATAACTGAAATGGATTTTATCAAGGTCAAAGTAATTTTAAAACACTTGTAATAGTTTTAGTCTAAATGTACATCTTCAAGCTGGTTTGTGAAATGCTTCTTTATTTAATAGCTACTGTTCATGCAATAATATTGTGTGTGTGTGTGTGTGGGGGGGGGGGGGGGGGTAATTAAAAATCTTGTCTTATGTGCAAAATTAAGGATTTATATTAGGTCGGCGTAAATATTTGTCACTATGTCACTAGAAGCTCTATTTAAGAGATCCTCCTGAACGTAGACATGAAGCTGACCCCAAGTAGTGGGTGGTTTTCTTCTTCTTTGGATTTTCTTTGGCGGTCGGTAAACAACAATTTGGTGCATTATACCACCAACTGGTATAGGATGTGAACAACAATGATGCAACTTTTCCGACTTTCAGTCCAAACTCAGGAACAATGAATGTTGTACTCTTTGATGCATCTGTATATATGTTTGAGCCTGAAGCAGAACCAAGAAGGGACTTGTAACTATCCTCCATCCACCCATCCATTTTCCGAGCTGGATAAAATAAAAAAGCAACATGCCTAATTCTGTTTTGGTGTGCTGCTGCATTTAGGTGTAAAGACAGGTCACTATGAAAAATTGGGTTGCCACATCAAAATCCAAAATGTCTGCCATCGTATGTGTGTGTGTTTTGGGGTGGGGGATCAGTTACCACAATATTTTGAGAAAGCTATGCTTTCTAGTTTTTTTTATATTGCTTAAAAGTAATTTCCTCAAATGATTGGGGTGGTTGAAAATTAATGTAAAGTGGCCAAGGCCACCATTGGCACCCCCTAGCTTCACCATTACACCTGGTGTTGGATAGTTTCCTTTGCTTGCCAAGACTGTCACTCTACGCTGCTTCGGACAAGTGGGAAAGAAAACAAGCTCAGTTCTTATGCACAATGTAAATCCAACCCACTTGCCCTAAAAACATTTAGGTTTACCTGTTCAGGTTCAGTCCAGAAAAACACTCATCTCAAAAATGACAAACATTCACTATTCAAATCCCTCAGTGATGAGTGGCATCGGTGTACAGCTTGTCACATATCCATAATATATTCTATAACTGTATCTGAATTCAACATATTTTTGATTCCTTTCTTCTTGTATAATATTTTCAAATATATTATTGGTTCTGTAAGCATCCGTGAATGTATGGTTGGTTGTGGTAGTTGTGGTTCATGACCCTACCAAAACTTTTTTTGTTTTTGTCTTTTTCCCAGCATGATTTTAGCACATCTTTGTTTTTGTTGTTATTCATGACCTTTTACATTTTGGCCAATAGTTTAAAGCCAACTGATCCTTTCTAATGTTGGTGGTTCTCCTATTTCTACTAGTATTGATCCTGTAGGTGTTGAGCAGTTGGTGTTGCTCAGCTGCCACACCTGCAAACAATTAGCTCCAATTGCTCTGCCTGCAGCAGCTGTTGACGCTCCCTTTGGTAACAAATAGGGAACAAATATAAGGAAGAGACGGGAGGGTCAGTGGTACAGGACAGAGTTTTACTCAAGTCTACTCCTGCTCTGTTTGGTTTAGGCTGAAGTGTATGAAAAGTACTGGGTGCTGCTTTTCAGTTGATTGCCATGACTCCTGCACTCCTTTTGTGGTATGCTCATTTATTTATTTTATCTGCTTGCTTATATGTTTAAGGAGCTTAAAACATGGTGAATTTTCTCTCCCCCCAGGATTTCTTGGATGTATTTACTCCTAGATGGCAGTCTTGGATTTCAAATTGCAAAAGGTAAGGGGTGTGTGGGGTGTTTTTTTTTTTTTTTTTTTTTTTTTTTTTTTTAAATCCTTTGAATTTTAAAATCTCATTCTAATGCTTATAAATCTTGCAGATGGAAGCTTTCGAACCTCAATATCAGATCAAAATTTTGAAGATGATGACCATGATTTAGAGTTTGAGGGTGGAGAGTCCTCGGCAAACCAGCAAAGTAGTTATATCTACACAGGCTTGTACACGCCTCCAGGAGCACCAGCACCTAGCTTCAATGTTGACTTTGACCAAAATGTGCCCAGCTCAATCTGGCAACCATCAGTCCAGTACCCACCTGTTAATGCTGAATCTCCAAGTTCTGCACCCTCTGGTGCTGCAGTGGAATCTGTCCAGGGTAAAGAAGTGGGGCAACCAACAATCCAGTACCCACCTGTGAATGCTGAATCTCCAAGTTCTGCACCCTCTGGTACTGCAGTGTGGTATGTCCAGGATAATCGAGTGAGGCGACCAACAATCCAGTACCCACCTGTAAATGTGCAATCTCCAAGTTCTGCAGTGTCACTTGGTCAGGGAAATGAAATTTGGCAACCAACAATCCAGTACCCACCTGTCCAGGATAATCAAGTGAGG